GCTGAGGGGAGCAGCGGGGAGACAAGACAGGTGTGCTGCGCCCTTTGGCCCTTTCCTGCTGCAGTGGCTGACCTTGGCTTGGTAGCGCTGAGGCTTTAACCCCTGCACCACCAGGGAGGCCCAAATCGTCATTTCTTTTAAAGGCTGGAGAACAGCGCTGTGTGTTGTATTGAGTCTGCCCCACCTCTGCCGGGCATTTGGGGCGGCTCCCACCCATCATGACTGTCCATGTGTGAGAACCTGAACACCCCACCTGGGGCCAGTGGTAATTCTGTGTTCAGTTTACTGAGGAGCCCTGCCAAGGGGTGCCCCGTCCTGCTCTCCTCTAGCAGGCAAGCCCCCCCCCCCAGCCCTTTGCTCCCCACACTGACTTTGGCTCATCAGAGTGCAGCATCCTCTGTCTTTCAGCCCTGGCTCAGGCGGCTCACTCCTGAGACTCCGCTGGCCGACTTGCTGGGCTTCCCTTGGCTATCCCACCTTGCAGATGGCATAGAGGGCTTGGTGGCATTCCCTGGCAGGAGCAGAGCTGGGGGCCCCATAGCTGGCACCCCTTGTGCGAGCTTCTCAGCTGATTCACCACACCAGCTTTATCTCTCCCAAACCTGGGTCCAGGCCTTTGTCCCCTAACTCGGTGTCCATCTCGTGTGGGCCTTAGAGTCCTCTTCACTGCGTGCGATCTCTCTGTGCCACATACCACTGCCCCTTCTGGCTCCGTGGCATCGTGGAGTTCGGTGTTGCGTTGAAGAAAGCCAACCAGGGACATTGCCTGAAATGTCCCAGAGGCTGTCGCAGGCTCCCAGAGCACATTCCTGCGACCTTTGCAGGAGCCCAAAGGTCAGCCCATTGTGACTCCTCCATTGTTTTCACGCTGCCATCTTGGTGCAGACACAGGAAGCTGGGGGGGCGGGGAGCTGGCCAGATGCTATTTCTGGAGTCTCCCACCCGTGGCGGAGGTGAAGCTGTGCTTAGGGTGCCTGGCGGTCACAGGTCAGGTGGCGCTGGTGGGCTCCGGGTTCTCCCAGGTGATGTGCAGGTTCTGTGCTCCTGTGAGCACAGCCACCGGCTCCGTGTTTCCTGCTCTAAGGCACAGGGGCAACAGAGGGTTTTCCCACGTCGGTGAGAAACTCAAGGAAATACGGTTTACAGTATTCATCTTCCCATCTTGAAAATCCAGATGCTACAATCTTGATGGATTTCTTGGGGCTCCCTGGTCGTGCAGGGGGTTACATCTCAGCTCTGTGAAGCTGTCGCAGCCACTGAGGCCTGAGTTTGATCCCCTGCCAGGGAGACCCACAGGGCGCAGCAGACCTGTCTCCCCGCTGCTCCCTCAGCAGGGGATTTCAGAACATCTACCTGTTCTGCTCCCCACTCTGTCTCTGGTGAGTCCTCTCACCTCACACCTCTGACCCACATCCAATTTTTTATGCATAAATAAATAAATCTTAAAAATAATCTTTGCAGATTTCTTAAAGGTCAACAGTAAGTTTCCTCAGTGTCCTGGATTTAAAACACCTGGAATAGCCAGAGGAAGCACATCCTCTCTCCTCTATGGCCTCGCAGCCTCGGACCTCAGCTCTCTCCTTGTTACGTTGACTCTGCTCTTTCTAATGAAAATAAACACGCTTCTTGAGAGAGTCAGTGGCAAAATGAGACTGAGCTCTTTCATTGTTTATCCTTAAAGTGTTTATTTTTAAAATGATGTAAACTCTTGTAAAAGCATTTATTTTGTTTCCCGTAGGAGTGTAAGGAACGGATGCAATTAGGGAGCAAAAATGGGGGGAGGGGAGGACAGACTCTGGATTTCCCCCAGTTGTCTATAGTGAATTTATTAGACAAAGGAGCAAATTCTGACAGCCCCATGACAGCTGTTAAGAACTTTGCATCAATTGTGAATGTCTGCAGGGTGCAAACACCGGTGACCTTTTCTGAACCATAAATGATAAAGTTTTCCATTGTATGTGAAGGTCAGGAGACTAAAAAAGGCAGAATCTGGAAACTCACCCCTGACTGTACCTTAAGATTCAGGACAGCGCCCTGGCCTGCTTTAACGGAAGACAAGTGTGACGATAAAGAAGAGAGAGGGCAGCGTTTCTGGCCACGCCGCAGAATAGGGGTGTAAGGATGTGGTGGCTTGTCCTCGTGCGCGGGGTTGGGCCTGCGCCCTGGCCAGAGGGGCCCCCCGGCCGGAGATTTTCTGCTGCGGCTGTGTGCGGCTCTTCCCTCGCTCGCCTTCGTAATGTTTTAATTCTATTATTAAACCCCAAGTATAACTTGAAACTGCATCCCGTGGCGTGCTCTGAGTAATCTCCGTGCGTAGAAGATGCAGACGGCGAGGTGTGAGGGGGCGCTGTTCCCTGCCAGCTTGCAGGCTGCCGGCGTTTCTTACCTTAGTCACTATTTTTAGATTCCATCACCGGAGTTCTGTGCAAAATGAGCGTGGGCGCTGAGGTCGCTGTCCACGGCGCCCAGCTCGAGGTGGGTTTGCAGCTAGCAGGTCTTGGCAGTTAGGAGGGAGGGGGAGGCTGGCCCCGGGGGGAGGCGTGATTCGGGGTGCGGGCAGATGTGGTGGGGCAGACCTGACGGAGGGGGCCCATTCTGGGGCTGGGCGGGCGCAGGCCTGCAGGGATGCGGGGATGCGGGGAGCCCCACCCGGCTGTGGCTCGGCTGGACCGACCCGGTAGAGGCCTGCGGAGGCTGCGGGATGACGCCCGGGATCATGTTCGCGATTTTGTGCTGTAGCCACTGAGGGCTGCCTGTCACATTTCAGAGGTCAATAACCACGCGGGAGATGATCTTGCTAAAACAAACCCTGGGGGTGTCTTGGAAGAGGCGGGGCCTCCAAACGGAGGGGTTGGGGGAACTGGCCGAGCAGAGACCCCAGAGGCCTCCTCTCGAGCCTCCCAGCGTCTGGTGCGGAGTGGGCGACTCACACTCAGCTGCCAGGCTGGGGTGGGGCTGAGGGAGGACCCCGCCACCCACGGGCACACTCGAGGCCTCTGTGGCCAGGCCTCCCCCTCTGCGAGGGCTCTGGGAAGTGAGGTTGCTTCAGCTCTGTCTCTCCATAGGCAGAGAGCCCGGCAAGGAGCAGGACACCTCCAGTTCTCTCCCCCTTCACTCCTCAGAAACTAAGCTCCGAGGTGCTGCCGCGGTCTCCACACGCAGCTGCTGCCGCCCCTGGGGACCCCCAACCCCGAACCTGGCCCTAGTGTCTACTCACCCAGGTCAAAGTGGACCCCCAGGTTCCCTGGGGTGTCGTCCTGCTAATGGTGCTTACTTTACAGGCACTACCCTTGGGGGCTCCCTGTGGGGTCTGTGGGGTCAGGCCAGGGCACCCGAGCTCCAGCCATGGCCCCTGCTGCCGGAGCGGGGTTCTGAGTCTGGTCAAGGGCAGGGGTGGCTGCAGGGTGCTTGCTGTGGGATGGAGAGGCATCCTGTGACCCCAGAACCACTCCTCTCCCCTTACAAACAAGTCCTGAGGGGGCCCTTATTTCCTCATTTTAGGGGTTCCCCCACCTTTGGAACTGCTGGAAGGGCCTCACAGGGCTCAGCCTCCGTCAGGACGGGAGGGGCTCTCTTGGGGTTTGAGGATGCAGGTGTCACTGTTAGCCTGGCCTGTTGGCTTAGGGATGTAGCTTTCTGTGAGTGAAACAGCTTGGTCAAAAAGTAACAGACTCCTGAGCCCCAGGCTACTCAAGTGTTTCATTTGCTTACTAGATGAGTTTGTGGATATGGTAGGTATCAAGTTACTTGGGAAAGTTAAATATAACTTTATGGAAATCTGCGTGGTAAAAAATGAGATGATGGGTAACTGAACAGTAGACTCTTAAAATATAAACATTAAATGATTTTTTTTAGACTTCCTTAAATAGACACATTCCTGATCATAGTGAATAACATTTGTTAACCCTCAGAGGGCTTCCGATCGGTTGTTATACTCTGTTGTAGATGGTGCAGGGCTGGTTTCAA